GTTAAGGTGATTTACGAAGGGACGAATTTTGTGGAGCCAGTCAATTCCAGGGTCACCACGAGGATGACGGAGTGTATTCTTGATGAAATGCATAAATTACATTATATTCTCATATCTATGCCTGGCCATGACAGCAGAGAACAGGGGCATATGATGAATCGGATCTGTGGACCAATACAACCACAATTTATTTTTTTTAGTAATGCCCATGTTGAAAGTTAGGCCCAAAAAAAGCTTTAAATTTGGAAACCGTAATAGGTTTCCGTGCAAATGGTCTGGCAAGGATTGAATTTGGGTTGGCGCGATAACTTCTTGTGCATGTAAATTGCTTTGATCCACAATCAATCCATACAGATCTTCCGTGAAAAACAGCTCCAAATTCTGAGTTGGGCAGTGAATGGGGGAAGTACGGGTGCTTCAGGATTTGTGGGCCGCCAATCAGAATTTGCAACCACATTCAGAAGGACACTATGGGCTCTGCGAGCCTGTGTTCGATTTTTTGCTGGCTGTGGGACAATACTTGTGCTAGCCACCACACCAGCTTGTACTGCACTTATGGGACTCGCCACGTCACCAAGTGTTACTGCAGTGCTGGTATGTAAAAGACCAGGATGTATGTTAAACATTAATTCCAAATTCATAATTCGGCACTTATAGGAATTATATTATATTTATGGCAAGCTTGCAAAATATTTGGTTATTATAATTAATCATAATTAATATTAAAATGTGTGGTTGGCCTTGAACAAGTGATAGTGTTAAATTCTTCAGTTATGAGCCAGAAAAATGTCAGAGTATTTGGAGTTAACTTAACTTAGTATTTAGGACATTTCTATAGATGGGCATAGCTAGTTAGAAGATTTCTGGTATAGGATGTCATGGGAGTCAGAAGTGAATCAAAATAGAATTAGTATGAAATAATATATTCTAATAGTATCTGTGTGTATTTAATGTATGTTTTATAAGTTGGTAATACAGTATGTGTTACATAAGTACATTTCTGGATATACAACATTATTGAGATATTATGTTGTAAAGATAGATTCTTAGTTATACTATCCTTTAAACAGAGAAACTGGTCACATGAGTAGGCTGATGCAACATTGTCAACTTATGAAGCCACTACATATGGGCTTGTCAATCAAAGGACAATATATGTAGTATCCCCTCCTGTCACAATCATGCACACAGGGAGAGGTGCATTTCTCCATTTTGCTCCAAACTTCTGCATTTTGGTACTTGTCTTAAACTAATATGCAGTCACCTGAGGGGGGGGAGGTGTAGCAGCCTGGACACCAGAGCCAGGCAGGGCTCTCACTGTGTCAAGAAGTCTTAATGTCATCTCCTCATTCCCTCTCCCTCAGGAATGCGATCAGTGTGTGATGCTGAGCCCCTGCCTAACAATTCTTTGCCAAATAAGGCTTGGCTTGTCCGTTGTGGGAAGAGACACCCCGTTGATTTTGAGTAGAAAAAAGAGGCTGTTATGTTTTGTGTGTAGACAGACTGTCAGGGCAGGGCTGTGGAACGGACAGGTAGGCCTAGTGGCAGGGTAACGCACTGGCTGACGACAACCACCACCAACAGACTGAAGTCCCTCAGGGCGCGGAGTCTAAGTCCCAGGCTGCCCTTCACCAGGGCCCTGATGGTGGGGATGGACTTGACGCAACCAGGGACCAGGTCGCGGCCCCCGAGACACCCCAGCTGCGGTAATGGCCGCCGCCAATGGCGTGTAGCTGGTGAGAATGACAATAGCGTAGTCAGACAAGCCGGGTCAATAACAACGGGACAAAACAGTACAGAACAGTAGACAGAGAATCACAGGTCACGGGCCGGGTTCAGCAACGGAAGGTCAGATCAAAGGGAAACACAGAGAATGGTCTTAGTCACAAGCCGAGTCAGAATACCAGAAGAGTCACGAGCGTATACACAGAGCTGTAGCAAGACAAAGACACAAGACACAAGTGCAAAGAGCATGTGCAGATCCCAGGCTTATATGTACTCAGCCACACCCCTCTGGGGGATGGACCTCAGAGACCTGAAGGCATAAAAGATTCCCATCATGCTCAGCAGAAATCCAAGATGGATGCTAGCACATGGAGTAACATAACCTCTGGGAAAAGGTAGGACCTTGACAGTACCTCCTCCTCCTCAAGGGCCCCTCCCCCTCCGCGGCTCAACAAAAGGTTTCTGAGGAAAGCGGGTATGAAACGCGCGGAGGAGGGCAGGAGCATGGACATCCGCGGAAGGAACCCAGGAACGCTCCTCGGGACCATAACCGCGCCAATGAACCAGGAACTGTAATCGGCCGCGCGCACCAATCGAGAGTCCAGGATCCGGCTCACCTCATACTCCTCATGACCGTCAACCCGAATGGGACGGGGCCGAGGCAGAGAGGTAGTGAAGCGATTGCAGATCAGAGGTTTCAACAGTGATACATGAAAGATATTGGAGATCCGCATCCCAGGTGGAAGGGCAAGGGCATAGGCCACCGGATTCACCTTGCGGAGAATGCGAAAAGGACCGACAAAACGGGGAGCTAGTTTGGGTGTGGGCACCCGAAGATTGAGGTTACGAGTAGACAACCACACCCGATCGCCGACCTGGTATGAAGGAGCGGGCAACCGTCTGCGATCAGCCTGGAACTTCTGACGCTGAGCCGAGTCCCTCAAAGCCCTCTGGATCTGCCCCCATGAAGAACGCAGGGCAGCAAGATGGTTCTCCACAGCCGGAATGTCCTGTGGTGAGAACCTCTCAGGTAATACCGCGGGTTGGTACCCATAGTTGGCCATGAAGGGGGACATCCCGGAGGAGGAGTTGACCGCTGAGTTCCTGGCAAACTCTGCCCAAGGCAGGAGATCGGCCCAATCGTCCTGATGGTCCGAGATATAACACCGAAGGAATTGTTCTAAGGCCTGATTGGAACGCTCCGCAGCCCCATTGGACTGCGGGTGGTAGGCTGAAGAAAAGGAGAGACTAATGCCCAACTGGGAGCAGAAGGCGCGCCAGAATCTGGACACGAACTGACTCCCGCGGTCCGAGACAATCACCTTGGGCAACCCATGCAGGCGAAAAATCTCCCTGGAAAAGACCGTGGCCAGTTCTTGCGCTGTTGGTAATTTCCTGAGTGGAATACAATGGCACATTTTGGAAAAACGATCGACGACCATGAGGATGACCGTATGGCCCCGAGACACAGGGAGGTCTACAATAAAGTCCATGCCCAGGTGTGACCAAGGACGCTCCCCATTGGGAATGGGTTGCAGAAGACCCATTGGAAGATGCCGTGGAGATTTATTCTGGGCACAGATCGAACATGCCGCTACATAAGAGGCGATGTCGGCACGGAGAGTTGGCCACCAGAACAACCGAGAGACGACCAAGACAACTGGTTCCTCCCCGGATGCCCGGCAGTTTTGGAGTTATGGTAGGTACGCAGCAGACGGGTGCGCAACCCCTCGGGTACAAAACATCTACCCTCCGGTCTCTCGGGAGGAGCGTCAGTTTGAGCCGCCAAAATCTGCTCCCCAAGGGGAGAAGTCAGACTGGTACGAATGGCAGCCAGGATATGATCCGGAGGTATGACCGAGGTTGGCTCAGAGTCCTCCCTGGACAACTCAGAGTATTGCCGCGATAATGCATCAGCCCTGACATTCTTGGAACCAGGCAAATAGGAGACCACATAGTTGAACCGCGACAAGAACAAGGCCCATCTGGCCTGACGGGGTGTCAATCTTTTGGCCTCCGAAAGATAAGTCAGGTTCTTATGATCGGTAAGAATGAGGACCGGAACTGCGGAGCCCTCGAGCAGGTGCCTCCATTCCTTGAGAGCCAGAATGATTGCCAACAACTCCCTATCTCCAATCTGGTAGTTGCACTCTGCAGAGGAAAGCTTCCTGGAGTAGAACCCACAGGGAAGTAGGGGTCCATCGGGCGACCGACGTTGAGACAGGAGAGCGCCTACTCCCGTCTCGGATGCATCAACCTCAAGGACGAAGGGCAATCCAGGATTGGGATGAGACAGTATCGGAGCCGAAGCGAAGGCGGATTTCAGAGCCTCAAAAGCTACGATGGCCTCGGATGGCCACTCGTGAGGATTGCTGCCCTTCTTGGTTAGGTCTGAGAGAGGTTTTGCCAGCGTGGAGAAGTTCCTGATGAACTTCCGATAGTAGTTGGCAAAACCCAAAAAGCGCTGAATGGGCCGAAGACCATTGGGACGAGGCCACTGCAGAACTGCCGAAACCTTCTGAGGGTCCATGGAGAATCCCTCCGCAGAAATGATGTAGCCTAAAAAGGCAACTTGGGATCGATGGAATTCGCACTTCTCAAGTTTACAAAAAAGTTCGTTCTCACGTAATCGTTGCAGCACCTGCTTGACATCCTGGATATGGGACTCCATGGAGGCAGAGTAAACCAGGATGTCATCCAAGTAAACTACCACGCACTGCTGCAACAAGTCACGAAGGACATCATTTATGAATTCCTGAAAAACTGCGGGCGCGTTACACAACCCGAAGGGCATCACCAGGTATTCGTAGTGCCCGGTTCTGGTGTTAAACGCGGTCTTCCACTCATCCCCCTGTTTGATCCGTACGAGGTTGTACGCCGCCCTAAGGTCAAGTTTGGTAAAGACTGTTGCCCCCTTAAGGGAATCGGGTATGCATTCTTAGTGGTGATTCGATTGAGACCCCTATAATCGATGCAAGGCCTCAATTCACCACCCTTCTTCTTTACAAAGAAAAAGCCCGCTCCTGCTGGGGAAGTAGACTTACGAATGTGCCCCCGGGAAAGCGCATCCGCAACGTACTCCTCCATGGCCTTATTCTCCGCAACCGAAAGAGGATACACCCTGTGTCAGGAATGGACTGGCCAGCAATGGTGGGACTCACCTGCCTTTTGATCTGCAGTACCAGCGCTTGCCAGCGGGTGCTCCCAGCAATCAGAGACTCAACCTTTCAGCCAGCTAACACACCTGGAACTGATGATACTGGTGTATTTAAGGGATGGCCAGACTTGCAGACTCTGCCTTGGTGTTGTGTTTGTCCTGGGCCCTGTATCTGTCCTGCATCCTGTTTCTGTTCCTTTGCTGACCCTGCCTGATCTGAACCGCTGCTGACTTCTCCTGCTCTGATCCCGGCTCGCTCCTGACCATGACCCCTCTGCCTGACCCTCTGTACCACGCTGCTTGCTACCTGTTCTGATCCCTGGCTTGTGACCCTGACCATCCCTCTGCCTGACCCTCTGTACTACGCTGCTAGCTACCTGCTGAACCTGGCCTGTGACCCCGACCCATCTCCGCTTGCTCCCCCTGTACCTACCTGCCCTATTGATATTGACCCGGCCTGCCTGACGACGCTTGCTTGTATGTACTGTTATCTGTGGGTGGTTGGTTTGGTTTGTTTGCACTGTATTATGTTTTAGTATTGCACTGCGTTTATGTTTGTATGGTTAGTGTTAATAAATTATATTGTTTATCACATATCTGAAGTCTGCGTTTCCCTGCGTCAGTCACACACCTCTGGTCACACCTGGGAGCCCTGACATTACACCAAGGCCAATCCTGACCAGAAGTGGCTGCACAGGGAAGCCATCTTGGCTTGTTGCTGGGAAGGATGGATCTGGACGAGGTTGAGTATTTATCTCTGCTAGTGCTTGATGACAGAAAATATGCTTATCAGACTCTGAAGGAGTATCCCCGGGATGAACTACTAGAATGTATACGGCTCGCTCATGTTCTAGTAGATCAGGGCACAGATTTCTCTATGGTGCAGCCATTGATTGAGGTTTGTGTTGAGTTGGTTTCATCTGGTTCCCCCGAATGCAGGGATGAATTTTTGCCACCATTTAGTGCAGACCAGGTAGAGTCCCTGGTGTGGTTATTAGAGGATGATGTGGGTTACTTTCTGGAGCGTTATTCCACATGTTCACCACAGGTACTAAGAGATTGTATAAACGCAGTGCAGTCTTTGGTCAGACAGGCTTTGTGTAAGCTCAGCTTTGTTCAACCCATACTGCAGACATGGACAGATTTGTTGCACCCAGCCTCAGTCAGCTTACAAAGACCCAGTCCTGCTTCTAATCTATTTTCCTCAAAGCTCTACTCCTGTATTCCCAACAACTCCCCCAGTTACAGCCCAGTATACTTGGCTATCTACCGCATGTCAGTACCCTGTTCCCACTCGCTGCACCTATCCTGCCTTTAACCCTGTAAAAAAGCCCTCTGTAGCAACTGCTCCCTCTCCTGTTCCATTCTCCAGTTCTTCTCTGTCTCCAGCTGCTCCATTCGTTTGCAGACCTGCGGTTACTTGCAGTGCTCCAGTAGTTAAAACCAGAAAAAAGCGAAAATTCTTTCCAACCAGTACCATCCTGCCAGTATCCAAACCGGTGAACCTGCCTTCCGTGGTTCAGCCTGAATCCTCTACTCAGCCTGATGCCTGTACTCAGCCTGATGCCTGTACTCAGCCTGATGCCTGTACTCAGCCTGATGCCTGTACGCAGCCTGATGCCTCTCTTCTGCCTGAAGCCTCTACTCGGCCTGAAGCCTCTACTCGGCCTGATGCCTCTACTCGGCCTGATGCCCTATACTCGGCCTGGAGCCTCTACTCGGCCTGGATGCCTCTACTCGGCCTGGAGCCTCTACTCGGCCTGAAGCCTCTACTCAGCCGGACGCCGGAATTCAGCCTGATGCCTCTACCCAGCATGATGAACTGATCCAGCCTGATGATCCTATTAGGCCAGTTGACTCGATGCCCGCTGTTGATCCAGATGATCCGGTACCTGATCCGGTGCCCGCTATCGTGCCAATTGACTCAGAGCCCGCTGTCGTACCTGGTGACTCGGTGCCCACTGCCTTGCCAGATGACGCGGTGCCCGCTGGCGAGCCAAATGACCTGATGCCTGGTGACCCAGGGCCCGCTGTCATACCTGGTGACCCGATGCCCGCTGTCGAGCCAGACGATCCAATGCCTGGTGACCCGGTGCCCACTGTCGTGCCTGTTGACTCGGAGCCCACTGCCTTGCCAGATGACGCGGTGCCCGCTGTCGAGCCAAATGACCTGATGCCTGGTGACCCGATGCCCCCGCTGTCCAGTCAGACGATCCAATGTCTGACCCAGTGCCCGCGGTCATACCAGTTGACTCGGAGCCCACTGCCTTGCCAGATGACGCAGTGCCCGCTGTCGAGCCAAATGACCTGATGCCTGGTGACCCAGTGCCCGCTGTCATACCTGGTGACCCGATGCCCGCTGTCGAGCCAGACAATCCGGTACCTGATGACCCAGTGCCCGCGGTCATGCCAGTTGACTCGGAGCCCACTGTCTTGCCAGATGACGCGGTGCCCGCTGTAGAGCCAAATGACCTGATGCCTGGTGACCCGATGCCCGCTGTCCAGCCAGACGATCCAATGTCTGACCCAGTGCCAGCGGTCATGCCAGTTGACTCGGAGCCCCACTGTCGTGCCTGGTGACTCGGTGCCCGCCGCTTCGCCTGGGGGCCCGAGACCTGTCGCTCCGCCTGGGGGTCCGGCGCCCGCCGCTCCGCCTGAGGGCCCGAGACCTGTCGCTCCGCCTGGGGGTCCGGCGCCCGCCGCTCCGCCTGAGGGCCCGAGACCTGTCGCTCCGCCTGGGGGTCCGAGACCTGTCGCTCCACCTGGGGGTCTGGCGCCCTCCGCTCCGCCTGAGGGCCCGAGACCTGTCGCTCCGCCTGGGGGTCCGGCGCCCGCCGCTCCGCCTGAGGGCCGAGACCTGTCGCTCCGCCTGGGGGTTCCGGCGCCCGCCGCTCCGCCTGAGGGCCCGAGACCTGTCGCTCCGCCTGGGGGTCCGGCGCCCGCCGCTCCGCCTGAGGGCCCGAGACCTGTCGCTCCGCCTGGGGGTCCGGCGCCCGCCGCTCCGCCTGAGGGGGGCCCGAGACCTGTCGCTCCGCCTGGGGGTCCGGCGCCCGCCGCTCCGCCCGAGGGCCCGAGACCTGTCGCCCCGCCTGAGGGCCCGAGACCTGTCGCCCCGCCTGGGGGTCCGGCGCCCGCCCCCAGGCGGGGCGACAGGCATCGGGCCCCCAGGCGGGGCGCCTGGGGGCCCGATGCCTGTCGCCCCGCCTGGGGGCCCGATGCCTGTCGCCCCGCCTGGGGGCCCGGCGCCCGCCGCTCCGCCTGGGGGCCCGATGCCTGTCGCCCCGCCTGGGGGCCCGATGCCTGTCGCCCCGCCTGGGGGCCCGGCGCCCGCCGCTCCACCTGGGGGCCCGATGCCTGTCGCCCCGCCCGGGGGCCCGATGCCGGTCGCCCCCTGGGGGCCCGATGCCTGGCCCCGCCCGGGGGCCCGATGCCTGTCGCCCCGCCCGGGGGACCCGATGCCTGTCGCCCCCGCCCGGGGGCCCGCTGCCTGGCCCCGCCCGGGGGCCCGCTGCCTGCTGCTGCTCCGCCCGGGGCCCCTGCTGCTCCGCCCGGGGGCCCGGTGCCTGCTGCTCCGCCCGGGGGCCCGGTGCCTGCTGCTCCGCCTGGTGGCCCGCTGCCTGCTGCTTCGCCTGGTAATCCGATGTGCCTCTGCCCGGAGTCCCAGGACCCTGCCCGATGTGCCTCTGCCCGGAGTCCTGCCCGATGTGCCTCTGCCCGGAGTCCTGCCCGATGTGCCTCTGCCGGGAGTCCTGCCCGATGTGCCTCTGCCCGGAGTCCTGCCCGATGTGCCTCTGCCCGGTGTTTAGCCCGGTGTGCCTCTGCCCGGTGTGCCTCTGCCCGGAGTCCAGCCCGGTGTGCCTCTGCCCGGAGTCCAGCCCGGTGTGCCGCTGCCCGGAGTCCTGCCCGGTGTGCCAGTCTTTGATATCCCGCCAGTTACCAGACCCGGGCGGTGGAACATTTTGCCCAGCTAGGACTGTTTGGAGCGTCCTGAGGCCGCTCCTTGAGGGGGGGGTACTGTCAGGAATGGACTGGCCAGCAATGGTGGGACTCACCTGCCTTTTGATCTGCAGTACCAGGGCTGGCCAGCGGGTGCTCCCAGCAATCAGAGATCAACCTTTTCAGCCAGCTAACACCTGTAACTGATGATACTGGTGTATTTAAGGGATGGCCAGACTTGCAGACTCTGCCTTGGTGTTGTGTTTGTCCTGGGCCCTGTATCTGTCCTGCATCCTGTTTCTGTTCCTTTGCTGACCCTGCCTGATCTGAACCGCTGCTGACTTCTCCTGCTCTGATCCCGGCTCGCTCCCTGACCATCCCTCTGCCTGACCCTCTGTACCACGCTGCTTGCTACCTGTTCTGATCCCTGGCTTGTGACCCTGACCATCCCTCTGCCTGACCCTCTGTACTACGCTGCTAGCTACCTGCTGACCCTGGCCTGTGACCCCGACCCATCTCCGCTTGCTCCCCCTGTACCTACCTGCCCTATTGATATTGACCCGGCCTGCCTGACGAAGCTTGCTTGTATGTACTGTTATCTGTGGGTGGTTGGTTTGGTTTGTTTGCACTGTATTATGTTTTAGTATTGCACTGCGTTTATGTTTGTATGGTTAGTGTTAATAAATTATATTGTTTATCACATATCTGAAGTCTGCGTTTCCCTGCGTCAGTCACACACCTCTGGTCACACCTGGGAGCCCTGACACCCTGCCACGCGGAGGAGTGGCACCGGGTTGCAAGGCTATGGCACAGTCGTAAGGACGATGAGCAGGTAAGGCACCAGCGCGTACCTTATCAAACACGTCCTGGTACTCCCCATAATCAGTGGGCAATGCAGAGTCCGAGGAGGCACACAACACCTTTACCGGCCCACGGATGCACCCGGCCCCACACTGTGGAGACCACGAGAGAATCTTGGCAGTTTGCCAATTGAAGGTTGGATTGTGCATCTGGAGCCAGGGATACCCCAAAACCACCGAATAGTGCGGAGAAGAAATCACCTGGAAACAGGCCAACTCCCTGTGAACAGCCCCAATAGCTACTTCAACTGGCATAGTCTCGTGGGTAACCTGCGGTGGTTGCAGGGGCCTGCCATCTATCGCCTCGAGAACCAATGGGGTAACTCGAGCCTGCAGGGGAATGGAGTGCTGGGCAGCAAACGAGCTGTCCATAAACAACCCGCCGGCCCCAGAATCTACCAACGCCTGGGCCGTCACCGAGCCCTCCGCCCAAGAGAGGACAACGGTGATCAGTGGCTTATCTCTGCGGAACGCCGGGGACGAGGAGACTCCACCCAAGATCTGTCCCCGACAGGATCTCAGGTGCGAGCGTTTCCCGGACGGACCGGACAGGACTGCCGAAAGTGCCCACCAAGAACCACAGTACAGGCAGCGACCCTCCCGACGCCGAGCGGCCCGCTCCCCCTCGGAAAGGCGAGCAAACCCCAGCTGCATGGGCTCACCACCAGACAATCTATCCCCAGGAGGCGTGGGAGGAGAGGGAGGAATGGGTGGGATAGAAAACGCAGGTGCCAGTCGATTGGAAGGCCTCTGCAGGCGTTCCTTGAGTGAAGGCCTCTCCCTGAGCCTGGTATCAATCAGGATCAGGAAGGAAATTAGTGCTTCCAGCTCCACAGGCAATTCCTTGGCTGCGATCTCGTCCTTCAATGCATCAGAAAGACCCTGAGAAAACGCAGCCACCAGAGCCTCATTGTTCCAACCCACCTCTGCTGCCAGGGTACGAAACTCTATGGCGTACTCGGCCACGGTCCGTGAACCCTGATGCATAGACATGAGCAGCTTGGCAGCTGAGGCGGAGCGAGCCGGTACATCGAATACCCTACGGAAGGCATCGACAAAACCGGAAAACTCGTGAATCACTGGGTCATTCCTCTCCCATAAGGGATTCGCCCAGGCCAAGGCCTTGTCTGAGAGTAGTGAGATGAGGAAACCCACCTTTGACCTCTCAGTCGGAAAAGCGTAGGGGATTAATTCAAAGTAAATCCCCACCTGGTTAAGGAACCCACGACACTGACTCGGCTCACCCCCAAAGCGCTGCGGAAGAGGGGCTGAACCGGTCATACCTCTGGACACCGCGGGTGCCGCATCAGCCGCGGCGGTAGGCACAGCAAGCGGAACAGCAGCGGGAGCGACCACCGGAGTGACAACCAGGAGTAAGGTGCGCGGTGTGTGCCAGCAGAGTTTGCAACGCCTGAGCGAACTGATCCAACAGGAGATCCTGTTGATCCAGTCTGGCGACCAACATTGGAAGTGAAGGCGTACCTGCACCGTCAGGATTCATGGCACTTGTGTAATGTCAGGGCAGGGCTGTGGAACGGACAGGTAGGCCTAGTGGCAGGGTAACTTACTGGCTGACGACAACCACCACCAACAGACTGAAGTCCCTCAGGGCGCGGAGTCTAAGTCCCAGGCTGCCCTTCACCAGGGCCCCTGATGGTGGGGATGGACTTGATGCCAGGGACCAGGTCGCGGCCCTCCGAGACACCCCAGCTGCGGTAATGGCCGCCGCCAATGGCGTGTAGCTGGTGAGAATGACAATAGCGTAGTCAGACAAGCCGGGTCAATAACAACGGGACAAAACAGTACAGAACAGTAGACAGAGAATCACAGGTCACGGGCCGGGTTCAGCAACGGAAGGTCAGATCAAAGGGAAACACAGAGAATGGTCTTAGTCACAAGCCGAGTCAGAATACCAGAAGAGTCACGAGCGTATACACAGAGCTGTAGCAAGACAAAGACACAAGACACAAGTGCAAAGAGCATGTGCAGATCCCAGGTTTCTATGTACTCAGCCACACCCCTCTGGGGGATGGACCTCAGAGACCTGAAGGCATAAAAGATTCCCATCATGCTCAGCAGAAATCCAAGATGGATGCTAGCACATGGAGTAACATAACCTCTGGGAAAAGGTAGGACCTTGACACATACCTCAGAGTTGGACACCTGTCTGCAATGCTTTTCTGACAAAAGCCAGGTCCTGTTAAGAAAGAACTTGCACATTATATTATACTTAATAAAGGTATCCTAGCTAGACCACATTTTTGCAGATCTATTCTACCAGTGCTCCCAAGGATTGGGTAGATTATTAATACTCAATCTTCATTACCTATCTTGTGACTGAGATTGTAAAGGCTTGCAATCCTTTCCTTCGTCCATGGAAATGTACTAGAGGATGAATAGATCTCCTAAAGTCTCTGGATGGATCTAGGTATTGTAGGAGGCATCTATGGACATCAAAATTGTGAAAGGTTTTTTTTAATAATTTTTGGGGTTTTTTGCAGATAAGGAAAATTTTTCTCTTGCATTCTATGAAAAACTGTAATTATCTTTGGGAGGCACATTGGATCCAACTCTAAAATGACTATCTTGAAGATTAGTCCAATATGTGTCTTTAACAGCGAACCAGTCTACCCTGGTTGATGTGATAGCCTGAAGAAAGGTCATCTTTAAATGTAATAGAACAATCTTGTATAGGTTGGAAATGAGCCCTGGAGAGCCCATTTCATACTCTGGATCAATCTCAGGGAAGATCTTTCTGCCCAGTCCAGAAAGTCAAGTGGAGTTCAGGTAAATTTGTAGTCAATAATTCAGGAC